TGAGACCCATCTCTACCAAGAAAGAAAATTATCTAGGCATGGTGGTGTGTGCCTGTAATCCCAGCTACTTGGGATTATATTTTTATCTGATAAATTCTTCGAACTGGAAATGCTGAATTGAAGGGAATACAATTCAGCTGGCTGAGATGGAGGATCACTTGAGCCTAGGAGTTAGAGGCTGCAGTAAGTCATGATGGCACCACTGTGCTCCAGCTGTGCACCCTGTCTCAAAAAAATAAAAAGAAAATTTGACTTAATATTTTATTTAGGATATTTACATACATAGATATTTGTTTAGGGTATTAAATCATGCAATTAGGTTTTATATAAGATTATGTAAGCCTTGTGGAATGAACTGTGAGGTTATCTTATGCTTGAAAAATTGTAACCACAAAGGAATTATCTGTTTTTGTTTCTTGATAATGTTGTTAAATTCACTTATAAGATAATATTAGGGGTTAGCAGGGTAAGTCTTTATTACTTTTTCAATTTCTTCTATTAAAAGTTATTGGTCTATCTGTCCAGGCACGGTAGCTCTCTCATGTAATCCCAGCATTTTGGGAGGCTGATGCAGGTCAGGAGTTTGAGGTCAGGAGTTTGAGACCATCTTGGCAAAACCTATCTCTACTAAAAATACAAAAATTAGTTGGGTGTGGTGGCACGCACCTGTAATCCCAGCTACTAGGGAGGCTGAGACACAAGAATTGCATGAACCTGGGAGGTGGAAGTTTCAGTGAGCTGAGATTATGCCACTGCACTCCAGCCTGGGTGACAAAGTGAGACTCTATCTAAAAAATAAATAAAAAAAAAAATATGATGAATAAATGAATGAATGAATTCAGGGATCAAGATGAAGACAGATTTTTCTGGGGAGAGGAAAGAAATAAGTATAGGGAGTTCCTGCTGGAGCCAGGGAGTCTTGCAGTCCTGGGACCAAATGCCTGCATTGCGACTTGGAGGAAGTTAGCAGCCTTTTTATTTTTTTGAAGTTATTGATCTCTCTGTTTTTTCCCTCTTCTTGGGTCAATTAAATATTAGCTGTTTAATTAAATAAATAAATAATTTGTTACTTTACTTTCCTTCAAAATTCTTTTTCATATAGAGTAGTAGTTCTCAAAATGTGCTCTAGCATCCGCTAGAAGTCCTTGCAAGGTGTTCATGAGGTCAAAAGTATTTTTATAATTTATAATAATTTGCTTTTTTCATTCTCATTCTTTTAAGAGTATACAGTGGAGTTTTCCAGAGGCTATGTGAATGTGATCACAGCAAAGTGAATGTAGAGGCAGATATGAAAATCCAGCTCTTAAGACGTAAAGAGATTTGCAAAAATGTACCACAGCATCAGTTTTCTCCCTAAGTTATTTTGTTTGAAAAGTATGTTTTTCAAGAAAAGTTATTTATGTTAACACAACGGATTTATTACTTTGTCATTAATTTTTAATGAATTAATTTTTTAAATTTATGGTTTTAATTGCTAATATGGTAAATATTGATAGCTATGACCAACATAAACAAAAGCTACTTAAGCTTCTCAAAAACTTTTAAGAATGTAATGGGTCTTTTTTTTTTTATTTTTTTTTGAGACGGAGTTTTGCTCTTGTTACGCTGGCTGGAGTGCAATGGCGTGATCTCAGCTCACCGCAACCTCCGCCTCCTGGGTTCAGGCAATTCTCCTGCCTCAGCCTCCTGACTAGCTGGGATTACAGCCACGCGCCACCATGCCCAGCTAATTTTTTGTATTTTTAGTAGAGACGGGGTTTCACCATGTTGACCAGGATGGTCTCGATCTCTTGACCTCGGGATCTACCCGCCTCGGCCTCCCAAAGTGCTGGGATTACAGGCTTGAGCCACTGCTCCTGGCCTGTAATGGGTCTTTTAACTAAGCTGTTAGAGAACCACTGATATACATATAACAATTAAATATTTTTGAAGATGCCTGTACTCATCTTCTATAATTCTTCAAATCTTCTTTGAATAGAATAGTCTACTCTACATGTGCGTATATCTGCATCTGTATATACAATTACATATTTGCATGCATTTTTGTTTTTATACATTTATTGTATGTTCATGTATGTTTGCCAACAGAACTGCAACTTGAATGGGAGCACTGACCTACTTGGTGTTTTGGTTCTGTCTTGTGGCTGATATTTTGTCCATAGGCCAAGTTTCTAGAAGTGATTTAGGTATGTGAGCTAGTGGATTTCTAATGATAGTCTTGGATGAAAGGCACAGAGTTCCATAGCAACAGGCAAGAAGAGTTGGTGGGGACAGGTCCTCTAAGGAAGCTGTTGTCACAGGTCAGCCTTATCCTCTAATAGTTGTGCTGGATTTCTTGAAACTTGTATTGTGCTCAAAGCAGGAACTCAGAGGTATCCTTAGAATGAGGCTTCACTGTACAAAGTCCTGGCCCCCATGAAAGTTTCAGTGAAGATGCTGGCTCTCTAAAATCAAATTCAAAGGGGAAGTACGTTTGCACTTCTCAGCCGCACCCGGCTGCCAACAGATGTTTGAGATCCTTGCTTCACTGATGTTATTAACTCTAGAGTTACCTGAAATTTAGTTGCTATATGTATTCTCTCTCATCTTCATATGGCACTAAAAGGTCAAGACTGAGCCATATCTGTCTTCATTTATTTTATCTATCCTGGAGCCTTTTCTTTATTGTAACTGTTCTGTCTTTTCTGATCCCCCTCCCTGCCTCTACTCCTACACCACCCCACTTGCAGAATTTCCTCTTCTTATTTCCAAAGAAATCCTTCAGAGCTAAACAAACATCAGCACCTACAGTGTTGGACGATGCAATGCAATTTCCTTAAAACTCACAACATAAAAATAGCAATACCGGGAACTGGAGCAATAGAGCTGTGCAACCTAATTTGGCCCCACAGATTCATTCTATCTTTGCTGGTCTGTCCTTGCTTTTCCCCTGTTGACTTGTCCCAGAAGATCTTCAACCTTTTTAATGCTATCTAAAAGTTTTTATTGCCAAAGTAGAGAGAAAACCTAGAGTTAAATGGTCTCTTCTTATGTCTCACTTCAGTTTCTCTTTTCTCAACCGTGTAGGGAAAGAGAATTTTGATGGGTTTTTTAACATGGCTGACATAAGCTTTATTCATCAGAGGAGACATCCAGATTCAGGCTGCTATATTCATTTAATCACAGGTCTGACATCCAAGGCTTTGGGGAAAAGAAGAAAAGTAGGATTGAGATGGGAAGTGGTTGAGGCGAGGAGATGGTGGTGGTGCAGGAGTCAAAAGTGGTATATCAAGCAGTGATTATAGGAAAATATTCTCCCTTCCTCTCTTACCTTCCTCTTTATGCCGCCATGCCTCAGGCACAAGGTGAGGGGCAGGCCCTGGAGAGGCAGATATTCAAGGTTATATAATGCTGCCACAACCCTGACACACGGTGAGGCACAGGCCCTGATGGGGCAGAAGTTTAAGGCACTAGCATGACCTTTTTTTGTGATAACATAGAAACAGAAACTACATATGGTATTTTACTGACTATACAATGTTTCTGTCATGTTTACAAAATGCTGTGTGCTGTGGGGTACATACCATTACCTTTCTTTAAGGTGAAGCTGTGGGAGTCTAACAGGAAACAGAAATCTTAGTGTCAGTCACTTACTATGCAAAGCATTTGGCATAAATTTCATTTAATCCGGGCCAGGCGCAGTGGTTCACTCAGGTAATCCTAGCACTTTGGGAGGCCAAGGCAGGTGGATCACTTGAGGTCAGGAGTTCAGAGACCAGCCTGGCCAACCTGGCGAAACCCTGTTACTACCAAAAATAAAATTGCCGGGCGCGGTGGCTCACACCTGTAATCCCCACACTTTGTTTTTTTTTGTTGTTGTTGTTGTTGTTTGTTTGTTTTTTGAGACGGAGTTTTGCTCTTGTTACCCAGGCTGGAGTGCAATGGCACAATCTCGGCTCACCGAAACCTCCGCCTCCTGGGTTCAGGCAATTCTCCTGCCTCAGTCTCCTGAGTAGCTGGGATTACAGGCATGCATTACCATGCCCAGCTAATTTTTTGTATTTTTAGTAGAGATGGGGTTTCACCATGTTGACCAGGATGGTCTCGATTTCTTGACCTCGTGATCCACCTGCCTCGGCCTCCCAAAATGGTGGGATTATAGGCGTGAGCCACTGCGCCCAGCCAATCCCCACACTTTGGAAGGCTGAGGCAGGTGGATCACGAGGTCAGGAGTTTGAGACCAGCCTGACCAACATAGCGAAACCCTGTCTTTACAAAAAAATACAAAAATTAGCTGGGTGTGATGGTGCGCATCTGTAGTCCTAGTTACTCAGAAGGCTGAGGCAGGAGAATTGCTTGAACCCAGAAGGCGGAGACTGTAGTGAGTCGAGATCGCACCATGGCACTCCAGCCTGGGCAACAGAGTGAGACTCCCCCGTCTTCAAAAAAAAAAAAAAGTACAAAAATTAGCTCAGCGTGGTGGGGGACTCCTGTAATTCCAGCTACTTGGGAGACTGAAGGAGAGGAATCACTTGAACCTGGGAAGCGATGTTGCAATGAGCTGAGATCCTGCCACTGTACTCCAGCTTGGGCGACAGAGTGAGACTGCATCAGAAGAAGAAGAAGGAGAAGGAGAAGGAGAGGGAGAGGGAGAGGGAGAGGAGGGAGAGGAGGGAGAGGAGAAGAGGAAGAGGAAGAAGAAGAGGAGGAGGAGGAAGAAGAAAAAGAAGAAAGAAGAAGAAAGAAAGAAGAAGAAAAAACACTCATGCCTCATTAATGAGAAACAGAAATCTGTAGGGGAGAGAGGGATACCCCTGTTGAATTCCTGGGCCACCATAAAATCTTACCACATTTCTGATTTTAAATGAGACTGAGGTCACTGGTAAATTTCTGAATACTAACTCATCCCCTAAAGATGGGAGTTTGATTAGCAAATTAGTTAAGCACTTCAGTAATGATATTGAGACTTAATTTCATGTTTCCTCCTTTTCTCTTTCTGGGTGTGACTAAATTGCCTACAGCATGCTGCATGGTTGCTGGTAAAACAGGAAATGGGGTAAGTAATTTAGGTAGGGAATTTTTACTACCACTTAAATACAAGCTACCTGGTTCTTAAAGTACTTTTACTACTACAATCTCTATTTTTAGAGTGCATTCACTAGCTACTAGAGAAATTAGCACAAATAACCAATTTTTGTTGTATAAATTTAGGGTATCAACCTTGTTTCATTAGTTTATTTGCATAGCATATTAGTTTATTAAAACTGATTCTTTTTTGTGTATTTTAACATGAATGTAAATATATGTTTTATATGCATTAGGCACTTACATAATATAGTTTGGACAATTATTTTTTAAAAATAAATTTTATTTATTATTATTTTTCGAGACAGAGTCTTGCTCTGTCACCCAGGCTGGAATGCAGTGGCGTCACCCAGGCTGGAATGTAGTGTTGTTATCTTGGCTCACTGCAACCTCCACCTCCCCGCTCAAGCAATTCTCCTGCCTTGGCCTTGCGAGTAACTGGGATTACAGGAGCCCACCACCACACCTAGCTGATTTTTGTATTTTTAGTAGAGATGGGGTTTCACCATGTTGTCCAGGCTAGTCTCGAACTCTGGACCTCAAGTGATCCACCTGCCTCAGCCTCCCAAAGTGCTGGGATTCTAGGCGTGAGTCACCACACCCAGCCTAAAAATAAATTTTATATTGGTCTTAGAAACCAAACTATAAAACTATGTCATAAAAGATAAAAAGTAAATAACTGGCAGAACAACAGTGAGTTTACACGTAGGTAAGACATAGAAAACATAGATTCACAATCCTTTATCTGAAACCCCTGGAGGCCAAAAATATCTTGAAATATAGAATTTTTAGATTTGTAAAATATGTTGTTGAAGATCATATATACCATATCCTTCCCCTATAGGCTGTGGGGTGCTACTACATAATTAAACATTAATATTTCTGCAACAAAACATATGAATATTCACAGTAAGTTTGATAAAGTCTCTAAATTGCCTCCTTCAAGTCAGGATTTGATTGTCAACTGAGTTAAAAAAATTTTTTTTAATTCTCCAGAACATTTTGGAGTTTGAAACTAAAAATTCTCCACCAGTATAAAAAAGGGCCATTTCACTGTTTGAGGTACCTGTATGCTCTGGCGAGAAAACTCCAGGAAGAAGTACACATTTCTATTTTAGAATTTCAGACTTGGTTAAGTGACTTATATAAAAATAATTTGGCTTTTTTGTTTGTTTTGTATTGTATATCTGCATTTAAAAAACGGCAATAACTACATAGGGTTTGGGGGGTTTGTTAGGTTTTATTAAATTAGTCTCAAATGCTTTAAATTCTGGTGTAATAATAAAACTTGATCCTATATTTTTAGAAATTGGCTAGCATAGTCAGAGCTTGCCTTTTTCTTAATGTTTTCAATTTATATCCATGTTGCTTATGAGTTACTCTTTTTCTTTTCTTTTTTCTTTCTCTTTTTTTTTCTTTGAGACATAGTTTTGCTCTTGTTGCCCAAGCTGGAGTGCAGTCGTGCAATCTCAGCTAACTGCAACCTCCACCTCCTAGGTTCAAGTGATTCTCCTGCCTCAGCCTCCCAAGTAGCTCAGGATTACAGATGCACGCCATCATGCCTAGCTAAATTTTTGTGTGTTTTTAGTAGAGACAGGGTTTACCATGTTGGCCAGGCTGGTCTCGAACTCCTGACCTCAGGTGATCATCTCCCTCAGCTTCCCAAAGTGCTGGGATTACAGGCATGAGCCACTGCTCTTGGATTATTTCTTATCAAAGGATTTTAAACTAAGTTTAGTTCTTCCAAAAGGTTCTGACTGATACAGGGATAATGGAACGGAAAAAGAGAAAGGTCATTGGTTTTTTCTTCAGTGTCCCTAGTTCATTCTGGGTTGAAAAGTTTGTGGAGAAATTGCTTTAGAGAATTTACAAAAAAAAAAAATTAATGGCGTTGCATATGCTGGTTCATCTTTTCTCTAGAATGGTTGTTGTATTTATCTACAGCAAAAGTGATTGCAACTGGCATTCTCATAAGTACTTATTAGGCAGAGAAGAGAAGGAGAAATGTAGTTACTAAGTATGAAATGGGGACTGAATTTACCTTAAAGAGAACTAGTCCCTCTAAAGGACAATCAGGTATATGCTAGGGACTTCTGTGAAAATATTTACCCCAAATTGTATTAGGAAAGTTATTAGCCACATTTAACTTTCAGGATTGGAAATCTGACATTTTAAGTATTATATTTTCCTTATATATTAGGATTTCCAAGCTGTTCATTAATACTTTCCTCTGGCTCTGTAATCTGGAGGGAAAAAGTACCTATAGTTGAAGTTTTTAAACTAGACTAAAATGCACTAAATATATGTCAAAGACTGTGAAGGATTTAAAACACCAGTTTTCTTAAATACATAATGAGTAATGTTTTAACTCACTTTTGGGATTGGCTTTTGTAACAACCCTTTGGACTTTCCAGAAATCTAAACAATTTTAAAAATAGTTTCTGTTCTTGTGTTTTCTATTTCAACTTTTTATTCTTTAAAATGTATTTTCATATATTATTTACTTTCAACTGTGATATTTTGTTCAAATATTGTTAAATAGTTGGATTGTTGACACAATATCAGGATAGTCTTTAAAAATACCTAAATGTTTCTGATATTCAGAGAATTATGTACAGTTTATGAAGCTAAAACACTTAGTATTTTAATAAGTTCTTGAATGTAGATAAATAATTCGATTATTTGTCAGATGTAGAGTTTATCTGGCTGTTTCATTGTTAAATCACAATTCCAAAGCACATGAAAGCACTCTTTGTAACCAGTTATATTCTCAGCTGAATACAGAATGGATAGATCAACTATTTACTCTACCTCATTTTATTTTTTTGATCAATTATTTCTTATTTTGCATTTTTAGAGGAATGGTGGTCTTCATATTCTTTTTTTTTTTTCTGATCAACTAAATTCAGCCATTAGCTTAACTACTTTTTTTTTTTTTTTTTACCTGTAGTTAGTAGTATCTTTTGGTCTTAAATTACAGTGAATTAAATTACAATGGATATTGCCTACAAGGAATAATTTCTATCAGTGAAAATTGGGCATTAAAAGGGATGTTGCATAAGTTGGTCCTTACATCTCTTTTATTAAAAGCAGCCCTATAAATAGCCATAAGGCTGGTATGAAGTTTTAATTATTTGAATGATGTGGACTTGTTAGTTTGTTAGTAATATCCCAGTGTTTTCAGCAGAGCAGAGTGGTTTTAATAATACCACACCGTGTTTTTCATCCCTTTTACTTCAAGTTCCTTTCTATCACTATTTTAGGTTAGAAACTAAAGCTAGAATTTATAAAAGGGACTTCCCCAAACCTATTTATTATCTCATGAGTGTATTTTGGGGGAATGTCAAATTTTATTCAGATATTTATCTGATAATACATTGATGAGCATTTCAGAACATTCATACTTTATAATTTAATATTTCTTCTTCAGCACTAATTTTTAAAAAGTACAACTTTTATGTTGATTTCCCAAAAGTAAGCCCCATTTTCAACAAGAGGGGAAAAATAAGCATTTTAAATGTGGATGTGATTATTGTACTACACAGTTTTATAGTTTGTGAGCAATAAACAATCATCTCTATCCCATCTTACTGTTATCTGATGTATAAATCCTGGAATCTGGCAATTGTAGCTCAGAAAAACCCATTGGTGTGCTTTTGACTTTGAAGCTTTAAACATTGTGTTATATGCCATTAAAAAAGTAGTTCTGGCTGAGGCAGGAGAATTGCCTGAACCCAGGAGGCAGAGGTTGCGGTGAGCCGAGATCGCGCCATTGCACTCCAGCCTGGGTAACAAGAGCGAAACTCCGTCTCAAAAAAAAAAAAAAAAAAAAAGTAGTTCCATGATTCCACTAGAGTATAAGGTTCACAAAGTGAGGAATTTTTGTCTGTTTTGTTCTCTGCTTTCTATTTAATGTGTAGAATAGTGCCTGGTACATACTAGGCACTCAATCAGTATTTTTTAAAATAATTGCATAAATTCTTGCCTTTAATAGAAAAAGTGAAGTTTTTCATGTCAGTGAATTAATTTTTATGTTATTCAGAAAGCAGAGTCTGTCGCTGGGAAGAGATGATATAGTTCAGCTAAAAGAAGCCTACAAATGGATAACTCACCCCCTGTTTTCAGAGGAATTGGGTGTTCCCATTGATGGAAAGGTATTGGGTCAACAGCATTGCTAATTTTATTCTCTGATTTTATTAGTTTTACTTCATTATATGGCAGGGTTTTCGTTAGCCAAAAGGATCTTCTTTTTAAATAATCCAGTGAAGGATTTTTAAGCTTTTAAAATGTTAAATTCTAAAAGTCTTAAATTGAAGTCAAAGCATATCTTTTTTTCCCTGTAAGACTTCTTTGTGACCTAAGACATTTATAAGGGTACCAGGTACCCTAATTGACCTTAAAAGGTTAGAAATGAATATTTGCCTTTAATGTATTTATAGGTCAATTGGGGGAACATATAGTTTATATTGAACTATAAATTGAATTTATAATTCAATTGTTACAAAGCAGTATATAAATAACTGCAAGCAAATGTAGAGTCAACTCTGGAGTATTTAATTTTGGTTTATCTGTGGCTAATCTTATTTTCAAATGCATGAATAGAACCTATTCAACTACAGTGACTATGAGCTCAATCCTACCTTGTTGGTATCTCAAATCCCCCTGTTTACTTTTAGGCAGTAACTGCTTTTGAAACCAGAACATTCCTCTTTTCCAGAGCAGACCTTACTTCAGTCTCTGAAATGGGTTGAATTTCAGGGAAGACTCAACAGGCTTCCAGATGTGAAAACGGGAAGGTCATCTTAAATTAGATTTTAATATTATGGCCTCATTGCTTCATTATTTTGCTTGAAGGAAATTCCCTGGATATCAGATACATCCCTATTCAAATAAAATCACAAAACTATCTTCTAAAGCTAAATAGTTTTTTTAAAAAACATTCTGAATTATGCAATAATATATCCGTCTGTAAGAATACACTCTGTTCTATAAACTGAATATTGAGAGAATAGAGAATAAAACTACTTCACAGTATGAAGAGGAAATGAGGTAATGAAAGTACTTTGGAAATTAGGGAAGTCATTAATGCAAAATATTTTTACCTCAAATTTCAGTTTTGAAGCACAAATAATTTTACATGTTATATCAGTGAGAACAGAAAATAGAAAACAAAAGATGCAATAATCTAGTAGATTCTGGTTGAGTGAAGTTTCCTGAATAAACGGAATGCATTGTTCATTTTAATTATTGTATAGATTAGAATAATGAGCAAAAAAAAAGTTATTCATTATTGTGATTCATTAGTAGCTAAGAGGTCTACTGAATATCCAATGAACTCAGTAAATATAAAGACAAAATTATAACATAGTATAACATTTTTAGTTTCCCCCCTCCGCCCATATGGAATTTTGTATATTCTCCATGGAGGTGAAAGTATAAAATCATGCTTCTTTTGGTGTACAACGATATTCATTATAGCATTTTTTTTTTTACAAAAAATTTTCCACAGCTGAAATGTCTGACAGTCCCTAGAGTTGAAAAGATTTCCATGATAATAAACAAAGCAATTTTCTAAAAGCATGTCTTTTTATTTTTTTTTTTGAGACGGAGTTTCTCTCTTGTTACCCAGGCTGGAGTGCAATGGCGCGATCTCGGCTCACCGCAACCTCTGCCTCCTGGGTTCAGGCAATTCTCCTGCCTCAGCCTCCTGAGTAGCTGGGAATACAGGCACGCGCCACCATGCCCAGCTAATTTTTTTTGTATTTTTAGTAGAGACAGGGTTTCACCATGTTGACCAAGATGGCCTCGATCTCTTGATCTCGTGATCCACCCTCCTCGGCCTTCCAAAGTGCTGGGATTACAGGCGTGAGCCACCGCGCCCGGCCCAAGCATATCTTAAAATATAACACATATACATTTATATTCACAAAAATGCCTGGAAAGAAACACCAAATTGTTAATGGTTCTACTTCAGTGGAATGGGATTAGAAAACCATTTTGGTATTTGATTTTATAATTTATGTGTATCATTTTTGTAATAAAACAAAAAAGATCTGCTTTTAAAACTCAGATCCTTTAAGGTGTTTGAGCACTTTAAAAAGAAGCTTCATCCAGTTTTTAGGAATGTGAATAGTATGTTTTTTGCCTTGCTAATAATTCAAATATTAGTATTGGCAGAATAATTCTTCATTTCTTTCCTTTATTATTTATTTTCAATTCTGTAAATTCTCATTCACCTTCACACCTAATTTACACATTTATCCAAAAAGTATACAAATTTATTTTAAAACATTTTGGTAGGATCACTAGCGACTGAGTTTTAGAAGTTAAAAAACAAAAGAACGATTTCCTTTATAGCTGCCCTATGAACAAGTTGATTTGAGAGCAGTAGTATTACCAGTTTTTCTGGTCATTCTTTTCTGAGCCAATCTTTGAGAGTTAATTTCTATTTCCATTCATAAGTTGTTAGATGTTAGTTTCCTTTTGCTCATTTTTAAACTGTCTTTATAATTTTTAGAGCTTGTTTGAAGTGAGTGTGGTCTTTGCTCACCCAGAAACAGTTGAGGATTGCCACTTCCTGTAAGTTGCCATGTAAACAACAATGTCAATTGTGTAAAATTGTTAATGTTGTTTGGTTTTCATGAAAATAGTATTGCTTCTCTTCCTAATAAGCATTTTAGAACTTGTTATATCTTAGTAGGTTTAAAATGTGCCCTCAAAAAAAAAATAAAGTAAAATGTGCCCTCAAACTTAGGTTCCTGGGCAAACCAATGTACTTCATACAGGGACACATTTTTTCTGCTCCTGATGACCTGAGTTTAGCAGCCATTTGTATAAAATATATTTGAATTATGTCCACCTCAAAATAAACTCAATAACCTTTTATATGAACTTGAATTTTATTTTAGAGCTGCAAAATGCCCAGATTGTTTTAAGCCAGCCAAAAACAAACAGGTAAGGAAGGATTCCCACTACTTACTCTTGAGTGAATTTTGTCTGAGCTGAATATTCAAATTTCCAACAAAAAGGAGATGTATTAGAAACATGGCAACTCTATTATACTAAGAATCAGTCTAAATATTTCCATTTGCTACATTAATTTTTTTTTCAACTGTTTCAGTGTTCACCTCTGGCTAGCACACAAACATCCTCATGTCTGTATCAATGTCTAGATTGTTCCCTGACAAGGTTAAATTTAGAAGAGTGTTTCAGTGATGTTACTATTACTCAATAAATTCAATGTCTAGATTTTAATTCCCCAAATTACATCATCTGGGAAAATCCATGTTAAGTATCAGCAGCATTCCAAACTTTCAGCTAACATCCATTTTGTAGAAATTGGTGTTTAGAATATATAATCTAAAGTAAGTTATTTTGTTTAGGACAGTCCCGAATTAATGGCCTCTTTCGGGCTACATTTGCAAAAAGAGCATTTTATTAAAACTCTTCTTTATCATCTTAGTGTTAGCTGATCTTCATGTTAATGATCAAATTAGTTAACATACACTTTTAGCTCGTATCATGTCAGGATAGAATGATGTGGTACAATATTGGTAATCTTTCATGCTCCAGTTTCGTAGGTGGTTTCGTACACAGACTCAGGCATTCCTAGTTTCACTGACATTCATTTTGTTGTTGTGATTGTTAAAAAGAACATAAGTTCATTGTCACATATACATCTGTTGGTTTTGCCTCTTGCTTTGACTAATTGCTGGGCCTTTTAGAACCGGGGGGGAAAGATCATAATATTTGCGGAATGTCCTGTGTAGAAATAATTAGAAATGCAGACTGAGCTTAAAGCAGGAGCTCCCTACTTTTCTCCTGTCATGGTACATCTAGAACATTACCATGTTTGTTCAGCACCCTGAGGTTAACAGATGGAGTTGCTTCAGATTGGCAGCACCAGGCCTGGTGTTTCCACTGTCTGAGGCCCTGCTCAACAGCCCTTGTGAACTAAAGAAATCAACATCTTGGCACAACCATAGTCCACTGCTTTGCCATGCCAGTCGGGAAGCTCTGTCCAGATAACCTGTAAGATGTATCTGTATTGAAGATCTAGTTTTATTTTATTTACCCTTGAGGAAATATAATAATAGGCATCAAGTAATAGGATAAGGAGATTTTTGTTAAAGCATCATAGATACCACACCATTTGGCCAGTGGGAGTTGTAGAGTCTCAAGTATAATTTTCTTGCCTCATGGCTGGGAGCAAATTGAATGACCTTTTGAGATATTTTTTCAGGTCTAAGATTTCATATCTTATCAATTAGGCACTAAATTTTCAGTTGTAACCCTATGGTACCTTGTAGAATGCCATAGTGTTCCCTAAAATATGGTTTTGAAAAAAATCATTCCTTTGACTGGTGATAAACTGTTGAGCTGCCTACATTGTAATCCTTTTCAGTCAAATGCAGTTTTTCATAATGGAAGAAATAATTGTGATTTATCATAGTAAGCCATGTATATATGTGCTAATTAGTTCTAGCATGTCTACTATACAGTTTGGCTTTTCTTATCTTAAAAAACTCAAGTGGAACATTTGTTGTAGATGCCCTTCTGTTCAGTACAGTGGATTTGCTTACTTTGTGGCTGGTGATTGCTACTGAGTTGCTAGATGCCAGGGCAGGCAGATTGGCTCTGCTTTACCCCTTACTCTGGCAGACAACTCCTAAATTACATACTGTAGCCTCTGAAGGGACGTAGGAAAGAAAAGGTAGCTGAATCAATCTAAATTCCTCTTGAGGTCAAGGGGAAAAAAATTAAATCACATTTCCTACAGTGTCATCATTTTTTATATTTGAATTATACCATAATTTGAGGGAAGTGGGACAGTGTAGTGAAGGAGACCTGTTCTGCTAGATCTACCTGTTATTGTAGACATAGACCAGATTGAAGAGAAGGTTGCAGAGGTATACCAGTTACAGAACCGACATGAATGCGTAAGTTTTATTTATTTTCTTGAAATGCTTAAGTATTTCTCCCTGTTAAGTATATGAAATGATATAATTTCTCCAACCATGTTCTGTGTTTTACCCCTGACATTTTCTTGTCTGGATAATAAAATGTCTTTTCTTCTCATTTTACCCTATATAGTCTGTATTCACTAGAATGGCAGTTATGAAAGCCTTGAATAAGATAAAAGAAGAGGATTTCCTTAAGTAAGTAGAAGTATAGAAACAATGAAGCATGATGAAATTTTAGAATAAAGGGAATGTTAGAAATAAGCTGGATTACCCTGAAACAAGATGGTATATTTCAGGGGCCAGGACTGTGTCTTAGTCATTGTTCTCTCTCCAACCCCTGGTGCAGTACCTGGCATATAGTGGTGTTCAGTAAATGTTTGTCAAATTCATATTTGAATTTATGAATCAAGTCTAACTTTTAAATTTTTATTTATTTATTTATGTTTTTGAGATGGACTTTTACTTTTGTTGCCCAGGCTGGAGTGCAGTGGAGCAATCTCGGCTCACTGCAACCTCCACCTCCTGGGTTCTAGTGATTCTCCTGCTTCAGCCTCCCAAGTAGCTGCCATTATAGGTGCGTGCTGCCACTCATTGGCTAATTTTTTGTATTTTTAGTAGAGACAGGGTTTTGCCATGTTGAACAGGCTGGTCTTGAACTCCTGACCTCAGGTAATCCACCTGCCTCAGCCTCCCAAAGTGCTGGGATTACAGGTGTGAGCCATCACCCCCAGCCGAATTAAGTCTAACTTCTTTATTCAGAAGAAGGTATTGGTATCCAAAGAGGGTGTTGACTTGCCTAAGCTAAGAGAGTGGATCTGGAGCCAGATTTCTTGATATTCTAGCCCAACCTTAGTCCTGTATTTCCTAGTATCGTTCATCTCCAGAAGGGGAGAAGAAGGCTCATGAGTTTCCTCACTTGTTAAAATATGCTAAAATAAAATAAATGCAATAAACCCTACATTTTAATTCTCGGTACATTCATTTATTAAATAAAATATTACTGTAGTTTTCTTTCCAGAAGATCCTTCAATACATTTTAAACAATGATGTGATAAGGAGGGTAGAGTCAGCAGTAAACTGCAGGTGACCATGGACAGCAAAATGGTTAAATGAGCCTGAAGGGGCTTCCTCTTCTTATGTATGGATTTTTCCCTCAAATCTTGAGGCTTTTGGAAAGCATTAGGTTGGTGCAAAAGTAATTGCGGTTTTTGCCTAGGAAGATAAGGTCTCCTGAGGGTGAAAGGTAGCAACAGAGTCCTTATGTACTTACTGCCACTCTCATATGTTCAAAGTGGTATTCCACAGGCCTGCAAGACCTGTATTGTTCCGAAACTAAAAGTTAGCAGGAGACTTGGGCTCTGTGCGTGTCTCAGACAATGCTGATTCATCTAAGTTTTGTGATTCAATATTATGTCTGGAAAATAGCTATAACATTTATTTTGTTTTTCAGGCAGTTTCCTTGTCCTCCAAACTCACCAAAGGCTACATGCACTGTTCTTGAAATTGAATGTGCTCATGGTGCTGTTTTTGTGGCTGGTAAAATATTTAGTCTAGAATATACATACACTGTGAACGTACTCTCCTTTCTGATAACTCAGCTGACTCCTGTTCTAGTTTATTCTTGTTGTTATTAGATTCTAGTAAATTTACTCTCTTGAGAAGTAGCATTGATAGCCAAGCTTATTTGAGGTTTTGTGGGCATTCTAAAGAATCACTCAGGAGATCAGTTATTTTAAATGCCATGCCAAAGAAAAATGTCACTTCCCAGGTCTTAATTGTTTTCATCAGAGATAGCCAAACAGAAATATGGGTAGATGCGGAGACCCAAAACTAGTTTGGAGAAAAATAGCAGGACAGAGGTTATTTTATAACATAAAAGCAAACTCGAAAAAACAATTTATTATCTCCAAAATGACTAAACACTTGGCTTCCACTGGAAAGAAATTGTTCATTGACTCCCAAAAGGTAATCTGGCAGACAAAGTTTTGTTTGAAAGTTACAACTGTTATAGCAATAGCTGAAGTGAAATTGCTCTTTAGCCTTGACTATAATATCCTATCTTAGGGCAATGAAAGCTACCTGCCTTACTGTAGCTTTATTCATCAGGCATAAAAGCAAGTTTGCTTGTGTGTGTGTGTTTTTTTAATCCTTGGTGCATTCGTAAGATTATATAACTTGTTCAGTCAGCTAGTCAAATTAAATATATTGAGCATTCCTTTCAAATTCATTTGATGCACCATTCATGTCATATATTTACCCATCCATTCTATTGTTACTTTAAACCTTGCTGTTTAATTATCTACATGTCTATGTGCCAGGTCTCCAAATTGGATTGTTAGTTAGGTAAAGGATAGGCCTTGTTTTATATCTTAGCCCTTAGGATATGGGCTCTTATTTATTTACTCCTTAAATAGTTGTTGCTTCTCTTTTTATTGTATTATGTTAATCACTCCATTCCATCCAGGCTACCTGATTTTTTATTTCTCAGGGAGATATAATAAATACTCCAGGAATCTACCACAAACTCCTTGGATAATTGATGGAGAAAGGAAGCTGGAATCTTCAGTGGAAGAATTAATTTCAGATCATCTGTTGACAGTATTCAAAGCAGAGAGTAAGTGTTACAATCTTCATTATTTCTTTTTTCTGAGATAAGGGCTTGCTGTATCAACCAGGCTAGAGTGCAGTAGCATGATCACAGCTCACTGCAGCTTTGACCTCCTGGGCTGAAACGATTTGCCTGCCTTGGCTTCCCAAAGTCCTGGAATTATAGGCATGAGCCACCCCACCTGACCTAATCTTAATATTTTATTGTCTTTTTTTTTTTTTTTGAGTGAGAGAGGGTCTCACCCTGTCACCCAGGCTGGAGTGCAGCCTCAACCTCCCAAGCTCAAGCAATCCTCCCATTTCAGTCTCCTGAGTAGCTGGGACCACAGGTATGCACCACCATGCTCGGTTATGTTTCAATGTATTTTTAGAGTTGGGCGTCTCACTATATTGCCCAGGCCGGTCTTGAACTCCTGGGTTCAAGTGATCCTCCTGCCTGGGCTTCCCAAAGTGCTGGGATTACAGGCAGGAGTCACTGCACCTGGCCGTATATTTAATACACTGACATTCATGAATAGATATCTTGGGGATGGTAGGAAAGATTTCTCTATTTTGTTCATCACTACCAAGTCTGGGCCTCTTGGCCATAGGCTTCCTGTGAACAGGGATCATCATGTTCTGGGTGCTGTTGATCTGGGCTGGATTTCAGCCAAGGCACTTGAGAATATCTGCCTGTCCTCTCTCAAGATGACTGTTCTGCCAGGCACAGAGGTACATGCCTGCAATTCCAGCACTTTGGGAGGCCGAGGCGGGTGGATCACTTGCGGCCAGGAATTCAAGACCAGCCTGAGCAACATGGTAAGACCATATATATCTACTAAAAATATGAAAATTAGCCAGGGCATGGTGGCGCACACCTACAGTCTCAGAGACTACTCGGGAAGCTGAGGCATGAAGCGCTTGAACCCAGGAGGCAGAGGTTGCAGTGAGCCAAGATTGTACCACTGCACTCAAGCCTGGGTGAAAGAGTGAGACTCTGCCTAAAAAAATAATAAATTAATAAATAAAATGACTGTTCTCTCCTGGGGAAATACAAAACAACTGAAACTACTGTAAATGAATGCAACTAAGCCCTGACCCTGGTACACCTTAGCCTTGGCCTCTTTGGGGGAATATAAGGAAATTAAAACACATCTTCAACATCCAGTGCTTCTTCAAGAGTAATCACTGCAAGTGTTTGGCTTCTGTCTTAACCTATAAAGTGTCCTGGAATAAAGTTCAGGCCTAGAGAAGGTAAATCAACAGGAACCATTTAACAAAGACTGAATAGCAGCTGTATTGTTTTTGAATTTAGGTATTAACGAGCCTAGGTTTGTGAGATGAGTCAGGTCCCCTCAGGTTTATGTTTTCCTTGTCTTAACAGGCCTGTCAGGTCAAAGGCAGCATAAAGTCCTGTGATTTTAATCATAGGAAATTGTGTTACACATCAGGAAAAACTGCAGGGCATGAATGATGTTACTTTTTGGAATGAGACTCTTAGCATAATCAGAAAACCTTTTTTTTTTTTTGAGATAAAGTCTTTGTTGACCAGGCTATAGTGCAGTAGCGTGATCATGGCTCACTGAAGCCTTGACCTCCTGGGCTCAAGCAATCCTCTTGTCCTCAGCCTCCCAAGTAGCTGGGACTACAGGCATGTGCCATCATGCCTGGTTAATTTTTTTGTATTTTTTGTGGAGATAGTTTTGACATGTTGCCAAGGCTAGTCTCAAACTCCTGAGCTCAAGCAATCCACCCACCTTGGCCTCCCAAAGTGCTGAGATTACAGGCGTGAGCCACCACGTTCAGCCAGAAAACCTTTTTTTTGACAAACCAGCTAGAAATTCATCCTTGTCTCTGAAAGCCCTTAAGATAAGCATGCTTTGATAATGACAAACACATGGTCTAGATGAGATATGGCTGACCCTTCCTTCTCCCTCACTAGGAAGGAAGAAAGAGAAATACTTCAAACTATATCCCTCTTATAATTTGTAGCCTATCACATAGGTGGCCCTTTTTTAAGGGTCTTTAGGAATTGTTTACTGAACAGAAAAAAAAAGTATCCCAGCACCCTAATATTTTCCAAAATCTTAGCAGTGAAGACCCTGGGCTATTGCCATAAGCTTTTGCCCAGTTAATTTGGTATTTACAAATGGATTATCACATAAGACTTACGCAAGTTATGAAAGTCTGAAAATAAAGCTTTAGCACAAAAAGTTTCATTTGGATTCTTTTTGGGGCCACCTGTCACACCAAGTGTCAGGTTCTAGCCCAAGCTGGAGTGGGTGAATGAGTGGCAGGCAGCTGAAAGAACACTCAAGGATGGTCCGGGAGTGGTGGCTCATGCCTATAATCCCAGCACTTTGGGAGGCCGAGGAGGGTGGATCACGAGGTCAAGAGATCGAGACCATCCTGGTCAACAAGGTGAAACCCCGTCTCTACTAAAAATACAAACAATTAGCTGGGCATGGTGGTGCACGCCTGTAGTCCCAGCTACTCGGGAGGCTGAGGCAGGAGAATTGCTTGAACCCAGAAGGCGGAGGTTGCACTCCAGTCTGGGTAACAACGGCGAAACTTCGTCTCGGAAAAAAAAAAAAAAAAGAACACTCAAGGAATCATAGAGAGTTTTGGACATGGCTCTATTCTCTCTCTCTGGGCACAAGCCCAGGTGTGAGCTGTATATGTATAGCATCAGCAGGATAGTTATACCTTTTACAGACAATAGTGGCTCTGAGCGAAGCACAAGTTCACATGAATGATCACCTCATGTGCCTCACACGGTGTGGTTACATAATGTGTAGGGTTGCACACCTGCGCACTAAACCCACTGAATCATGCTGTGCTGGAAGGCCACCTCGGTCTACTCCTGACTAAAAGCGCAGCCATTTCCCTAGGCTGAGGGTGTCCTTGACTACCTTAATCTCCTGTGAGATCCCTTGCAGGGCTGCTGTTATGTTCTGCTGATTATCCAGGATAAAGGTACATTGTGTTATGTTTACACAGGCTGTGATGTGTACCCATCCCACACTGGTACTACCCCAGTGTTGCTCTATGCACCACAGTGCCTGGGATGGGGATACTGCATGTTCCCCCACTAGCCAGCTCCACCCATCATAAACACTATGGGCCAGCCAGGGGGTGAGTGTGCTGTGGGTCTTGCAGCATCCTTTGTCCAAAGCTTGTGCATTGTGTTCCAGGAGTCAGCCATGGGACCCCAGGTCTCCAACCATGTCCAGTTCTCTGTAGACACAGGATGTATGTGCCAGGCCAAGCCATCATATCTGCTGCTGGAAGGGAAGTACAGATCCAACAGTTGAAAATATTGATCAGCTTAGCACAGGTGTGGGCCCAGTCCACAATGCAGTTGGAGCATGTGAATCCAAAGGGCTTGTGCCTGCTAAATGGCCTGCTTGACTGCTAGGTGATTTCAGCTGCATCACCCCAATCTCAGGGAAGAGATGTTGTCACTTCTAAATCTCAGTATCCTGCTGGCTACATCAAGTGTCACACCAAGTGCTGGGTTCTAGCCCAAGCTGAGGACCAAGGGCAGTGGGTAGATGAGTGGCTGGCAGCTGAAAGAACACTGGAGGAATTGTAGGGAGTTTCAACATGGCTTTATATTCTCTCTGGGCGCAAGCCCTGGTGCGTGTGGTATGTACAGTGTCAGCAGGGCAGTTATATCTTTTACAGACAATAGTGGCTCCCAGCCAGGCACTGGCTCACATGAGTGAACTCCTAATGCATCTCATGTGGCATAGTTGCATAATGTATGGAGTTGTGTGCCTGTGCTCTAAACAGGGTGAGTCATGCTACACTGGAAGGCCGCCTCAGCCTACTCCTGACTGAAGCATAGCCATTTCCCTTATACCACTTTACTCCCTTTCTTTAAGAAGATTCAAGAAAGTTCAGTTCTATTTGGGCCCCAGGGAAGCCCCTGTTATCTCTAGGGCTGCTGGAACTGGCTCTGAAACAGTTGTGTTTTCCCTCTTACAATCTTTAATGAAGATGGTTTGCTGTCATTTTCCATTTGAGTGGGGTAAATTATCCCCAAGCTGAAAAGAAAGCATATTGTAAGCTTGACAGCTGTAAATGTGTGCTGACATAATTTATTGAGAACCCCTGGAGAAAAAGCAGACCTTTGGGCCTCAGTGTTCACTGGCTCCCTGTCAGGGGATAAATCTTGTTTGAAATCTCTGATTAATAACATAAATTTGCTGAACCTGTGCTTCTCAGATATATTACTTACTATTATTGATTAATGGTTCTTATCTGACAACTCTGGGAAGATGGTTCTAACTGTGATACCCCTACGTTTTAAAGTTCTATAAACTAAGCCAGTATTACATGGAGCAGTGTAGCTAACTATATAAACATCCCTTCCTTAATGTGGGCTATACCAGCTTCTTTCTCAGTCACTTCAGACTGGCATGTCTTATTATCTACTTGTTAACTCCCTAATGAGTAATAAATTTTGACATGCTCTCAAAAATCTGTATGTCTAAGAAATTTTATCCTAATATATTAATTCACTTATTGAATAAATATTTTCCTCATCAGTTCCCTGCTAAAAACTGGTCAATGACTAGCTACAGGATGAAGTCCAAACCACTAACCTGGATATTCTGGGGCCTTCATTGTCTGGCCTCTGCCCATCTTTCAGTCCCATTGTCTGTCTGCCCCAGGTACGAGGACCACTGCAGATTAGCCGAACCACTTATAGTTCCTGATCATTCTTGCCCTTGATTTTTTTTTTTAGGGGGATGAGACAAGGCATAATGTGAGTTTAAAAACTCAACTAAGTTTTAAGCATATATTTTCGAGTACTTAAGGCAGTGGCTTCTTTTCCTTTTTGTCAGCTGCTATTCATAATTGCACACTAATAAGTTTTCAGGTTTGCCTCCTAAAGTTTCTCTCACTCTGGGGTCCAAGGATGTTTCCTTAATTTTCAGGTTTGAAACATTTTTCTAAAAGATCAATAAATATGCCTTCTCCTTTAGTCTGGATCAAATGCTTTGGTGGCCTTTTTAAGGACCTTGCTTTCTGCACCTCTTTCTTACTGATGGGCTGGAATTTGTGGGAAGTTTTATGGCTGACTTATGAATTTGAGATTTCTGCTGCTTCAGTTACTAGTAGACCTAACTATTTGAGGCCTGTTCATTCCCTTCACCCCTACCAGTCACAGGTTCTTGTTCAGTCACTGTGGACCCCTTGTTTTCCTGACAGGGCTGACTGGGAGATGGGGGTAGGCAAGTATAAGATGAATCATAGCCCCAAGGAGTCTGCATCTTCAGCTTCCCAGATGCCGTTTTTGAATTCACCACTGAGCTATGGCCATCCGTCTGTTATTAGTGCTACAGCTTGATGTTGCTATGGATTTATTAGTAACTTGACACTGAAGTGTAAACACAGAATGGAGGATTCTTTGGGACTTAGTGGTTCACAACTCCTACTTCCTGCTTGGCCTAGTTCTATATCTAAAAAAGTTGTTGAGTAAGCCCCTTGCCTTTTTTTTTAAACCATTTTCCCCTTCCAATATTTGCAGCTTTTAGTCTGTGATGATCTATTTATCTTAGAGCACACACTGGGTTTTATCATGGTTCCAGCTTAGGTTTGATGACATATATAAAGAATTTGCTTTTTAGAGTCAAACCTTTTTTTTCCCTCCTTTTTCTTTCATGGACTTTAATTCTTAAATAATAAATGTTTTTGTTTTGTTGTGTTTTAAGGAAAGAAAGAAAGATGATAGAGTTTTACCATAAGCTTATGGCCAGGGTGGTAGTGGGGTCTTCTTCCAAACAGCGCTCGGCCTCGGCTTTCCCATGGGATGGTAATTAAGTTCTGATTTTAACATCAGAAACACCTAGCTCTGCCGTTTCCAAGGTAATGTTACCTTGGAAACATTACCTAGCTTTCTGAAGGCTGGCGTTCTTTTATAGCTGCTTTATAAGGTTATAATAAGGATTAAATAGTACATGGTCCAGATGTGGTGGCTGACCCCTGTAATCCCGATGCTTTGGTAGGCCAAGGCAGGATAATAGCTTGAGTTCAGGAGTTAAAAAGCAGTGTGGGTGACAGAGCAAGACTTCATCTCTACAAAAATTAAAAAATTGGCTAGGTGTGTTGGTGTACACTTGTGGTCCTAGCTACTTGGGAGGCTGAGGCAAGAGGGTTGCTTAGGTCCAGGAGTCTGAGGCTGCAGTGGGCCATGATCACACCGCTGTACTCTAGCCTAGGTGACAGAGTAAGACCTCATTTCTTTAAAAAAGAAATTTTTAAAAATAATATATATAAAGTTTTTAGTCCAATGCCTGGCATATAATAAGTGCTCAATAAATGGTGTTTACTATTAGCATTACTATTTTTAGTAGAGATTGACATTAGAGGTGGGATGATGACTCTTCCTTGAGATTTCCCTGTAGATTGTTGGAGACCTTCAATTGGGTTTCTACCAAAGGTTGGGAATGAATATCTTAGGGCTGTTATGTCTCTAATTTTTTTTCTTTATCTGCTTTTCAAAGGTTTTAATTTTTCATCCTCTGGAAGAGAAGATGTAGATGTGAGAACATTAGGAAATGGTAAGACGGCAACAGCATCACCTGATGAGAACTAACTTTCTGATTATCATCCTTTATAGACAGCAGGCTTAGCATAGTCACTCAGTGAAAACCAAAGTGAGCAAGGCCCAGAGCTTCTCCAAGGGAGGAAGCTTTGTGGATTATAGAGGTCCCTTTATGAATTATATGAAATACACCTTAACAGGAATCATTTCTTCGGAGGCCATCCTGATTGCATACCTGTAGGTTATAAGGGACTTGTATGTACATTAATAAAAAGGTGCTTGATTTTTTTTTCCAAAAGTTTGATTATTAATCGTTTCGTTTAATAACATTTCAGGAGGACCAGTACAGTTTTCAAAATGTACATCTCTATTTAAAAAGTAATTCCGCTGTCTTAACCTTCATGTCTCTCATTTCACCCTGTTACATTACCAGAAAGATGATGATAATCCTGAACTATTTGAGATTTATAGTTCCTTCCTCTCATGGAACCAAAGCTTTTCCCTTTTACTAGTGGATCACTAGGAGGATGGATTTCAACAGGGCATTGCTGCATGTGACAACTTTATATTAGTGTAACCAAGTTAATTAGTGGTTATCTGAACTGCATTTTGTAATTAACACAGGCTTGTTCATGGACCTTTGGGAAAGCAGTCATTCTCACATATTGCCTGTGCTGGGATTTAATAGCCCCTCTGCCCCCACAAAAAGCCCCTTGATTCTTCTCACACATTCTTCCCTCCCTCAGATGTAGTCATGTCACTAGACTTTCAGTCCTCTAGAGCTCAACCCATTTTTCACACCTCCTAACCCTCTTGCATTAGCCCAAATGTTAACTCCATCAACACGTTTCTGTTTCATGACGGGGTGTGTGCTGCCAGGAAGGCCCTTTGCAATTGAGCTGGTGAATCCTCATAGAGTACATTTCACTTCACAAGAAATTAAGGAACTTCAGCAGGTAAACCACTTCATGACATGGAAATCGTCATGTTTCTGCAACTCTGTAACTGAGCTAGACTTGCTAATTGTTTTTCTTTTTCTGCTACTACAGAAAATTAATAACTCATCTAACAAAATCCAAGTACGTGACTTGCAGCTTGTCACAAGGTAAGAGTAGGCTCACTGGGGATTATTTCAAAAGAGATGTTACAGTTCCAGGTCATATATCTAGATAAGGAAATTGTACCCAGAATGTATAAAGAACTCTTAACAACCCAATTAATAATGGGGAAATGATCAAGTAGACATTTCTCCAGGAGGATATAGGAATAGCCAATGAACACATGAAAAAATGCTCAACATCATTAGTCATTGGGGAAATGCAAATCATAACCACTTCTAGATATTGCCTATACAAGAGAAATGAAAACATACATCTACACAATGACTTATACATGAGTATTCATAGTAGCATTATTCACAATAGCAAAGAAGTAGAAACTACCCAAGTATCTATGAATAAACAAAATGTGATATATCCATACAATGGAATATTATTTGGTAATAAAAAGAATGAAGTACCAACACATGCGGCAACATGGATGAACCTTGAAAACATTATGAAATGAAAGAAGCCAGACACCAAGCAGCGCGTACTGTATGATTTCATTATATGAAATGTTCAGAATAGGTAAATCTATAGAGATGAAAAGTCAGTTAATGATTGTTTGGGGCTGGAGGAAAATAATAATGGGAAGTGACACTAATGGGTACAAAGTTTCCTTTTCAGGGTGATGAAAGTATTCTAAAACTAGATTGTTACTATAGCTGCACAACTCTGAAAACATACTAAAAACCATTGAATTGTGCAATTAAAACTGGGAAATTATATGTAAGTTATATTTCATTGGAACTATTTTTAAAGAAAGGTTAACTTAGGGCAAGGCTTGTTTGTATTTTATATATTTGAACAAACTTAAAAATTGTTTTTGTTCAGAGATTATATGTAAGTTATATCTTATTGGAACTATTTTTAAAGAAAGATTAACTTAGGGCAAGACTTGTTTGTATTTTATATATTCAGACAAACTTTTAAAAATTGTTTTTGTTTAGAGAGGCAATAGGCCATATGAAAGAAGGTGAAGAAGAAAAGACAAAGACCTACAGTGCCTTAATATGGACAGATAAAGTGATACAGAGGAAAGACATTGAATTCCTGAATGACATAAAGGTAGTTTAAATGTACTTATTCTTTTTATTTCATTTTTCTGTTGCCTATCAAAGACCCCATTGTCTTCTAGTTTATTACTAGCAAGTCACAGGGCATGGGCATTGGGGTCTGCAAGACCTAGGTTCTAAGCCTGGTTCTGCCACTGAGTAGCTGAAGGACTGTGCAGTTCATCTAACCCGCTGGAGAGGCAGTGTGGCCAGTGGTGAAGAGCCCCACTCTGAAGACAGATTGCCTGGGTGCAAATCCTGGATCTGCATTTCTTAGCTGTGTGACTTTGGACAAGTTACTTAACCTCTTTCTGCTTCACTTTCTTCATCTATAAAATTAGTTAAAATAATTAAATGAGTTTAATTAGATGAAGCACTTAGAACAGTACTTGGCACATAGAAAACACTTGGCAATGCTGTTATTATCTTTGGCCATCTGTCAAATATAAAATAGCACTTATCTAATAGAACTGATGGTGAGATTAAGGACACGAATAAAACACATGATGATATATGTAAAGCACATGCATTTTGGCACATGTAAAGTTTTCCTATACCTGAGCATGTCACGGTAGAGTGTCTGCCTGTTTGTTTGCATATTTCTTCCCACCTGCCCCCACTTCTTCTTATAAAAATAGTTTACTTTCAAATGCAAGGAATGAGCATACATAGGCACAGAGATGCACATAGTTCCCACATTGTTTAAATAGGCAATATTTTACAACAATCTAGATGACCTACTAGAAGGAACTGGTTTAATATTAATGGCTTCTCTGTATAATGGACTACCACTATTCAGCCATTGAAAATTATGTGGTAGATAAATATTTATTCACACAGGAAAATGTTTCTGGTAAGTACTAAGGAAAAAAAAAATAAGGTATAGAATCTATAGAGGATTATATGTTGTGATTTAAGGCAGGGGTTCCCAACCCCCTGGTGGTACCAGTCTGTGGCCTGTTAGGAATCCAGCCACAGAGCAGAAAATGAGTGGCAGGTGAGAGAGCAAAGCTTCATCTGTGTTTACAGCTGCTCCCCATCACTCACATTACCACCTGAGCTTGGTCTCCTGTCAGATCAGCAGTGGTGTTAGATTCTTATAAAGGTGAAAACCCTATTGAAAACCACACATGTGAGGGATCTAGGTTGCATGCTTCTTATGAGAATCTGCTGCCTGATGATCTGTGACTGTTTCCCATCACCCCCAGATTGGACCCTCTAGTTATAGGAAAACAAGCTTAGGGCTCCCACTGAATCTACATTATGGTAAGTTGCAAAATTATTTCATTATATATTACAACATAATAATAATAGAAATAAACTGCACAATAATGTAATGTGCTCAAATCGTCCCCAAACCATACCCTCCCTCCCCAGTTCATAGAAAAATTGTCTTCCCAGAACTGGTCCCTGGTGCGAGAAAGGTTGGGGACTGCTGATTTAAGAACATACAAACACACATATATGTATATGTATACACATATAGAGGATTATGTAGAAAAAAAATTGTATGGCAAAAGATACTATAAATAGGATTTATATTATCATGAAAAATATGAACACACAACAGATAAAAACAAAGAATATGAACCAGTTAGCTTCAAAAAGAACAAGCGGCCAAGAATCATTTGAAAAGGTTCCACCTCAGGCCAGGTGTGGTGGCTCACGCCTGTAATCCCAGCACTTTGGGAGGCCGAGGCGGGTGGATCACGAGGTCAAGAGATCGAGACCATCCTGGTCAACATGGTGAAACCCCGTCTCTACTAAAAATACAAAAAATTAGCTGGGCATAGTGGCGCATGCCTGTAATCCCAGCTACTTGGAAGGCTGAGGAAAGAGAATTGCCTGAACTCAGGAGGTGGAGGCTGAGGTGAGCCGAGATCGCGCCATTGCACTCCAGCCTGGATAAACTAGAGTGAAACTCCGTCTCAAAAAAAAAAGAAAAGGTTCCACCTCCAGATTGATGTAACAATAAGACATCACTTTATTCCCCTTCAATTAATAATACCTATCAGTTGGTTGGAGTAGAGGAGAGTTCTCAGTAAAAATGTAGTGTTTCAGTCTTTTTCAAAAACAACATGGCAATGACTGCAAAAATTTAGAATATACTGATCTGTCCTGTAGAAATAAAACTCCAGTGCATAAGAATATGTACACGATGTTTAATGGCTTTAAGTGGCAAAATCAACAACAACAAAAAAGTGGAAACGAAATCAATGTCCCTCAGTAAGGAAATAGTAAGAGTACATTGGGATATTATACAGCTATTAAAAAAGTATCAGGCTTGGCATGGTGGCTTACACTGGTAATCCCAGCACTTTAGGAGACTGAGGTGGGTGGATCGCTTGAGGCCAGGAGTTTGGGACCAGCCTGGCCAACATGGTGAAACCCCATCTCTAGTGAAAATACAAAAAATTAGCCAGGCATGGTGGTGCATGCCTGTAGTCCCAGCTACTTGGAAGGATGGGGCATGAGAATCTCTTGAATCCAGGGGTCAGAGGTTGCAGTGAGCTGAGATTGCATCACTGCACTCCAGCCTGGAGGACAGAATGAGACTCTGTCTCAAAACAAAAGCAAAAACAAAACCCAGCCTATGACCCTATTTAATTTATATATTAGTATATACCTAAAACTGCTGGAAAAAAAGATACATGTCTATATCTATAACTCATAGGAGCACCTATGACATGAAAAAAAAAAGCAAACTACAGAATAATGTTTATAGTATGAATATTTTGGTGAAAATGTACGAATCATTCACCAGCTTAAAGAAAGTCATTTATAAAATGAGGGGATGGACTAGATCATCTCCAATGGCCTCTTCTTCAGTACTCAGGTTCTATGATTCTATAGCTAAGGCCCTTTGGCTTTTGGCTGTACTATGTAAGGTTCTTAGGATGGTAGTTATAACATAGACAGTTATCTTTAAGATTGCAATATGAATTTCGGAATTTATGCCTTCACATGGGTTGTATGAGTCATTGAGAATGTTCTGGGAAAAATAAACTCATTAAAAAATATGTTTATAGTTCAGGGGTTAAAATAATAGGTTCATAGTTTGGGGGTAGCCATAGAGATAAATCAGAAATAATTCTGAGGACAGGTGCAGTGACTCACGCCTGTAATCCCAACACTTTGGGAAGCTAAGGCAGGAGGACTGCTTGAGCCCAGGAGGTGGAGGCCAGTGAGCCATCATTGCGCCACTGCACTGCAGCCTGGGCTGCAAGATGATTTTTTTTTTTTGAGACGGAGTTTCACTCTTGTTACCCAGGCTGGAGTGCAATGGCACGATCTCTGCTCATGGCAACCTCTGCCTCCTGGGTTCAGGCAATTCTCCTGCCTCAGCCTCCTGAGCAGCTGGGATTACAGGCACGCACCACCATGCCCAGCTAATTTTTTGTATTTTTAGTAGAGGCAGGGTTTCACCATGTTGACCAGGATGGTCTCTATCTCTTGACCTCATGATCCACCCGCCTCGGCCTCCCAAAGTGCTGGGATTACAGGCTTGAGCCACTGCGCCCGGCTGAAAGATGATTTTTATAGGTACAGACAAAGTGGTGATAGGCTCTATTTTAATGGTTCATGGCCCAAGTAGACTGATACAACTAGTTAATTTCAAATAATGATTTTAGTCTTCAAATATTCCAGTGGGCATAAAAATTATAAAAACTGACTTACTTCCCCATTCTGAGAAAAAGTCACTTCAAATTTACTACTTATCCCCTCTTTAGGAGCAACCTATTTCTTAAAAAAAAAGCTTATATTTGTGTGTGTGTGTGTGTGTGTGTGTGTGTATTTCTGAAAGTTCAGCAGTATGAGAGCCGCAGAGTACAATGTTAGAATAAATGAAGTGGTTTCCTTTTGTCAAATGAAGACAAACAGACCAAAAAAGACATGAGGCTTGTGGTATTTCTGTTGACTGACTGGCTAATGGTCTAAGTACTGAAAGTTACTCTAAAGGTAAAGGAAGCAGGGGAGAGGAGAACTCCATAGATAGTTGTTAATTTAAAGGCCCACTGTTTCTCTACTCTAAAGCGGAAGCCATGTCTTTATAGATTCCTGCACAGTTCAGCCTTGTCCTTTATGTATTCTTTTTATTGTCTCTTTGACCAGAGAAAAATCAGATTTTATGGAGACAGCTTATCTCATCAGGACAAAGTATTTCTATAACAAAATAAAAGAATGATAGAAACCACAGAATTAGGAGGAGCCATTGACTCACCACTCTGATAAAAGCAGTCACACCCTTTCAAATGTGGTCTTTGTTAGAACTTGCTCTGTTTTTCTTAGTGGAGAACTTGACAGAGAGACCAGACCCAGACCTTTCTTTCCTTAGCAGGCTTTCCTGCACTCAAGAACCATGGAAATTAGGAAGAGTTGTTCCAACAAGAAATTGCAGAGGATTCAGTTCTTATGAACCCAAATTTCTGGTTATGCCCAATGTTTGTTTTTAAAACTTGTAATTAGTTGATCTTTCACAGCATTAACGTCTATTTCTTAATTTTTATCTTGTGACATAAAAGAAAATCTCTAACTTGAACAATTCATGAGAAAAACAAGCCTGTGTTCCTAAAAAATATGAAATGTAAAAAGACATGCAGTCTTTTAGGTATGTGGTTCTCCTCAAAACACGCAAACTCGGCAGGCGCAGTGGCTTACCCCTGTAATCCCAACACTTGGGGATGCTGAGGCTGGCAGATCACCTCAGGTCAGGAGTTGGAGATCAGCCTGGCCAATGTTGTGAAACCACGCCTCTACAAAAAAAAAAAAAAAAAAAAAAAATGTTATCTGGGCATGGTGTCCTGTGCCTGTAATCCCAGCTACTTGGGAGGCTGAGGCAGGAGAATCGCTTGAACCCGGGAGGCGGAGGTTGCAGTGAACCGAGATCGCACCCCTGCACTCAAGCCTGGGTGACAGCGAGACCTTGTCTCAAACAAATGCAAACCGCCATACACCCAAGTGATGCTGATGCTCCCTCTTCTGCAACCAGCCATTTCTCACCCCAGCCTAAAATCTCCACTCTTGGGTCGCTCTGTTGGGTTAGAAAACAAAGGTAAGGGCCTTGTCCTTTAGAGGACCCTGATGGACCTAAAGGGCAGGCCAAAACTACAGGGCCTTCACCAATTTGTTAAATATGAGAGTAAAAGAGACCTATTTACTTCAAATGGCGAGGTTACTGGGGCCCAGAAAGCGAGTAATGATAGACTGGGCTATGAGAAGTCCCGCAGAGTTTGAACCTAAGGGTACACAATTCATTTTACCATTAGCGTCCACCCGGTGATAGATGGAGTCCTCTAAAAGAAACATCTGTGCTGAGCTTTGGATGGCCAGGGCTAAGACAGGCTTCACTGGGTGGCAAAGCTCTGACTCTGGGACTGTGTGTCATATTCTCCCCTAGGACTTAAAGATTGACCAGAAAACACCTTTGCGCGTTCTTCACCGTAGGCCCCTGGCTGTGCGAGCTCGCGTCATTCACTCCATGGAGTCGCACTATGTGGATGAGCACCACTTCCGCCTCCACCTGAAAACTCAGGCCGGCACGTATCCTTCTGCCTGCTGCCGCTATGGAACCAGAACCCTGTTGGAAAAGGCCATGCTGCCCTAGAAAGCAGGGTCAGCTTGGTCTGGGAGGAATTCGGGAAAGGATTATACTGAAGAAGAATCTATTTTGTTTGTTTGTTGGATGTGGTTTTTTCTCCACTAAATTTGTTTTTCAAAATGATTCCAAACCTTGAGGTAGCAGTCCTCAATATCAGCTTTAAAGTTTGCTTCCTATAATTACAGTGCCTTACCCGGTGCTGAGCACACAGTACTCAGAAAATACTTCCGATGGATTCACTTGCTGTCTTGACATTTTTTGTAAGTTACGTATTCATGAGCATATTTGAGTCTTTTCAACATTTCATGTATTTGCCTTAGGTGATTAAACACAGGTAGTAGATGGGAATAGCACTACTTTACATCATGATCTTTTCTTGGCCACTGGCCCAGTACAACAGAGAATATTTTTTTCTTTACAGGCCTTGTGAAGAAAACAAAAACAAAACGTTTCAGATGCCATATCATTAGTTAGCTCCATTTTCAGACTGCAGAGAACTTTGACTGTGTTACAGAAAGGTTGAGATTCAGAGTTAAAATATCCATAGTCTAAGGCTGATAATTTGTTCATAATCTAACCTGACTTGCATGATTTTTGTATCAGAACTGAGTTGCTGATTAAAATATATCAGGGAGCTCCAGTAGGCTTAGCTTCAGTTTACTTTTCAAAGGTCTTCCTAGTTTTTGTTTCTTGGTTTTACATTATTTTGTGATCCAATAGCATGAAGTGACAAATACTTTCTAACTGGTATAGAACTAATGATGTACTATTGCGTGTGTGTATATATATGTACACACACACAGAGACACACTATATATATATATATATATATGGGGAAAAAAGCAAGTTTTAATCACCAAATACCATTCTTCTATATTGCTGTAACTAGTCTGCCTGTCTTTCCCCACCAGCCTGCGTTCACTTATTTCTCTGCCCCACCTCAGGACCTGGATTTATGCAGCTAAGCCAAGTATAGGTTATCTACTTTTAAAATCTTCTAAATTTCATAATTTGGATCAAAGGATGATCAATTTAGACTCCAGTGGACAGATGTTTGTATCTTTGTTGTTTGGAGCATATTTGCGTATTGTGGATGGAAATTCAAATCGTGTATATATTTTTAAAAATCTTCTTACTTAATTCTGGCCTTTAGTTTTGGTGGGCCAAAGAGAAATGTCTTTTGTAGAATTTGATGTTTTTTCAATCCTATTAAAACATTTTTAGAACCAGCCATGTACCTGTACTTAAAGTGTTAACCAAGAAAGACTGTTAAAGCTTTATATGCCACATGGTTATATACCAAAGTATATGAATTTTTCACTTACTAAATTTACTTTGTATATACCTTGTATATTCACATTGACAGGTGCACTGAGCTAGCTCATTTGACTTAAACCTTGTACCTCTAGTTATGAATAAGAACCTCTCTGGACATTTTAACTGGTTATTTTGGGGCTATTTGTTTTTTTCTCCTCATCATTGCTACACAGAGTGAGCATTCTTCAAAGAAAATGAGAGAACAAGAATAACAATTGTTGGGTAGTTATGAGTTTAGCAAAAAAGACATTTACAAGGTAATTTTATGTCTTATGCTTGAATCAAAATATTTGGCAAAGGTAGAGTGAGTAAAACGTTCAGAAAGGAGGATATCAGCATATTATAATATAGATTTGTCATCATCTGGAAACATTTACTTTTCTATTCAGAGTCCATTATTTTCTACTAAGTGCTGGTTGTAGAACAGAACATAATGCTGCATTTTTACTGAATGCTGGCCAAAACAAATCTTTTAGATAAGTATTGTCAAAGTTGCAGTGCAGTCCTGTATAAGGAATGTTAATCTTAAAAACAAATTCTAGAATTAGTTATTGATTTCAAAATTTGAAGACCTATGAGAGAAATAAAAAGTTGCCACTTAAAAAAAGAGAGAATTAACTTAGTTCTTTTGCTAACCATGTTAGCAAACTAGACGGTAGGTCTTTTGATAATCCTTCCGAAGAGCCATCAAGACTAAACTAATAGTCTCATTATTCCTTCCATCCTATTGCTGCTGGGTCATGTTACAAGGAAAGCCATCACTGAGGTCACTCTGTGTGTGACTCTGTGGAAACCTACCATTTGGGAGGTGCCAGTTGCCATTATTAAAAAATAGGACTAACAAGATGATAACACAGAAATTGTGGCAAAGTTGTTTTTTAATAAAAGCATTGAGCTACAGTTAATTTTTAATAGCCACATCCACACCTTGGCACTTGGCGATGAGCTATAAAGAAAAAAGAAAGTAATGGTTTTGGTAAGTTTGATGTGAACACATTTCCCAGGTTCTGATGTTGGCTGCCAGGCTGCTAGGAACTAGCTTGCCAAAGCTTAGTTCTTAAGGCACACAAGTCAGAGCTCAGAAGTAACCTCTCTTATATAACATTTCTAGTTTTATTATTTTTTTTGTCTGTCAAATCTTACCAAATAGTTGATACAACATGCTATCTTCATTTTTTCCTTAAACAAACCCCAGCTACATTAAAGAATTTGTACATGGAGACTTTGGGAGAACCAAGCCAAACATTGGGTCCTTGATGAATGTGACTGCAGACATTCTGGAGCTGGATGTTGAGGTAAGCCATTTTATTGTGGAACGCACATTGGCAAATTGAATTCAGCCAAAGTTACGCTTTTTGGCATTAAGCCATTTAGTACTATTCACCTCCATGGGTATTTGAGAATGGTGAAAATCTCACGGACACATTGTATTGAAGGGAGGGACTGTCTTCGGAATTTTTTTTTTAAATGTGAGGTCTCATTTATGTTCCTTGAAAATATATAGCTAATTTACTAACTGTGCTTTACATGTAGTATCAGATCTATAAATGCTTAAACCAAGCAAAGAAATAAAGTTGTAAGTTTTCTCCATATATCCTTTGGACTCTAGAGAATTTATTCCCATTCCTGTTGTGTTTTATAAAGACTTTAAAGCAGCCTACTCAAAAACATTTATTCACAAGGGTAGAAAGTGAGGTGAGCCAATGGTTATTCATGAAAGGAATTCTATAAGGACAACTGTGATGTGGTCCAAGTTCTCTGCTCTTATAGTCTGAATTGAAACAAGGTTAAATTCTAAAGTAACTGTAAGAATGGTTCTATGATCCACCCACCCCAGCCTCCTGAAGTGCTGGAATTACAGGCATGGGCTACCACGTCTGGCCGTTTTTCTTTGAGACAGGATCTTGCTCTGTCATCCAGGCTGGAGTGCAGTGGTGCGATCATGGCTCACTGAAACCCTGACCTCCTGTCTCAGTCTCCTGAGTAACTGGGACCACAGATGTGAGCCACTATGCCTGGGGTTTTGTTTTGTTTTGTTTTGGTACAGATGGGGTCTCACTGTGTTGCCCAGGCTTGCATTCATCTTTTTTGACCTTAATTCTCAGAACAGTTAGGAGTGTCAAAGACTCACAGGCCAGTGTTTCTCAATCCTGACTGTGCATTGGAGTCAACTGTGGAGCTTTTTAAGCACTACAATGTGCCTCGCCTACACACACACACACACACACACACATACACACACACACGATTGTAATCAGTCATGTTTTATTTTCAGCTTGAGAAACCACTCATTAATTTACATTTGGGTGTTTGGTATGTGGCTATATTCTGAAACAGAATCAAAATGTCTTCTTGAGATTTGTAAAAGACACACACACAAATAGCTATTTAAGCTTTTCTAATAATAATTTTTTTGAAGCCAGTACATGAAGTGACTCATGGATTAATGAAAACATTTTCAGTAAATAATTTCATCTTTTGAACTTTAAATGTCAATAAAAACCACAGATACAATGTGTTTTTTTTTAACTTTCTCTTAAAGTAGATCCCCTAGCCTTTGGTAGACCTGGTATGTGTTTATGTGGCGACAAAACAGTCTGCTTACTGTAATTTCATTCTGACTCAAAGGTCAAGGTTTCGTTCTAGAAGAACAAAATAAAGGTAAATAGAGGTAGTTGAACTGGATTTTAAAGAAACAGAAACTCTACAGAAATAAAGCACAAAGATCTTTAATCCTTTTCTAGTTCCAGGTCATCTTTCATAATCATTTACTTCACATTTAGTTGCCATGTTGCAAACAAGACTATATAGGCTTATAGACTACTTAAGTATTTGTTAAGTGCAAGATGAGAGAATGAAAATAGAAGAATAAAAGTTTCTAAGACTTTTGAGGGAAAATTGGTGTAGCCACTTGCATTTGTTTGCTGCTTGTACCCATAAATACGCCCCCAACTTTTTTTTTGCGATGGAGTCTCAGGAGTGCAGTGGTGTCATCTTGGCTTATTGCAACCTGTGCCTCCTGGGTTCAAGCTATTCTCCTGCCTCAGCCTCCTGAGTAGCTGGGACTACAGGTGTGTGCCACCATGCTCGGCTAAATTTTATATTTTTAGTGGAGATGGGGTTTTACCATGTTGGCAAGGCTGGTTCAAACTCCTGACTTTGAGTGATCTGCCCACCTCAGCCTCCCAAAGTGCTGGGATTAAAGGTATGAGCCAACAAACACGGCCCCATAAATACCATTTAAAAAATTTAAATGTATTCTCTTATCAGTCAACAAGTTAATAACCAACTGAGTAGCCAAATACTGGCTACTCAATTAATTCAGAAGACCTCAGGCCCAAGAATCCCTAGAACAGACTTGAGAGTGTTAATTTATGGTATTTAATAGCTTTTTTCTTCAAATGCTACTTCTTTGGTTGCATTATATTAAAACTATTTATACAGCATTACCAGCAATTGTTTACCACAATAGTAATATCTGTTTTAATGACTTCTTTTTTCCCTTCTAGTCTGTAGATGTTGACTGGCCACCTGCTCTGGATGACTGACTTTCAAATTTGGAGACAAAGAGTAGGGTTTTCCTGGTATGATGTGGACATCCATGGAGCACATGCCATAAAATGGCTGTTTACCTACCATAACAGTGTCTTGGAAACCATTTGGATCATGTTGATCTATATATTTTTTAATTTGTTGTAACATCTCAGGATCTATATATGTGTATATTTTGTGTTAAATTGTTCCAAGGATGTCTTACGATTTTTCTCATTCCCTATCTCACCCCCCCACAAACCAAACTATAAATAATGAAATAATTCCCCTTAATTCTTTCATTTAGAGAGGTATGCAAACAGGACACATTCTCTATTAACCTGAGAAGCTGTAATTTCAGCAAGATTTCCCTCCACAAGAGACTTACCACCTTTAAAATCATGTTCTAATTTTTTTAAATTATCTGAATAAAAGGTATATCTAGATTTATGCAGCCTAATATCCTATAATATTCTAAGATAGCAAATGCAAATCTGACATTATTATTTTTCCCTGGAAGCCTCAAACAAGCTATTACCAATGAAGTACTTTTGGCTGTGATTTGTTACAAATCTTAATGACCTCAACAGTTACTCTTTTGACCATCTGAAATTGTCACTACATTTTTCCTTTGGAGGGAAAGGGAAACCGTAGGAAGAGGCATGCCATGGTAGGAGCCTTTCATAAATCTTTTAAATAAAGAGAACAAGTGCCTTTGATAACTCCAATCCCAGGGTGAAGAATTTGAAAACTGAGATTGCTAAACAAAGATAAACTGATATTATTTCAGAATGCTTCAATATATTATCCAATTATAAACATTTTAATAATACCTTATTAAAGTAGATAGGATATTGTCTCCATTTTATAAGTATGGAAACCAAAGACTAGAAGTTAAATGACTTGTCCAAAATTGTTAGCTACTTCCACATCTATGACTAGAACAGAAGTTTCTTGGTCTCTAGGGTCTTTTTTTTAAAAATAGAGTTTTGCTCTTGTTGCCCAGGCTGTAGTGTAATGGCATGATTTTGGCTCACTGCAAACTCCACCTCCCGGTTCAAGTGATTCTCCTGCCTCAGCCTCCCGAGTAGCTGGGATTACAGGCATGCACCACCATGCCTGGCTAATTTTGTATTTTTTAGTAGGGGCAGGGTTTCTCTATGTTGGTCAGGCTGGTCTCGAACTCCCAACCTCAGGTGATCTGCCCGCCTCAACCTCCCAAAGTGCTGGGGTTACAGGTGTGAGCCACCATGCCCAGCCTGGTCTCTAGTGTCTTTCTAATAAGCCCTATTATTGAGCACCTGTTTGTGTAAAGGGGGCAGCTAGGAATGCCATTTAAATTCATGTAATAATGAGAATTGACTTTTGGAATGTAGATACCAAATCAAAGAGCTTACCAAAAAATAGCCCAAGACTATTTCATACAATCTTATATAGTTACCATTTGTTATTGAGTTAAACCTCAGTTGGTATTATGAAGAGGAAAAACATTAAATAAACTAAACCTAAAGAAAATGAATGGGTCATTAAGTTTCAGAAAGGAGCCTCATTACAATTTCAGATTTGAGTATAATTTTATCACCCTAATTCAATTATTTGAGCTTTTTTTAAGAATACATGAGACTTGACTAATATTAGATTACTCACCATTTCCCATCTCTATATTAAACATAAATCACAGTTATCAAGATCCACTTTAGATATGAGGAAAATGGTTTTAATGGACACAAAGGAGTCAGCCTACCACGTTGAAACCATGTGTTTGATATGCAAATAACAGCAAATAATTTTTTCACTATTTTCAATGCCAGAAAATGAGAAAAAGATAACAAATAAACTTTTGATAAAAAGGTAAGAATTTCTGTATGGATGTTCTGTTTCTGGGAAAAGTTTGCAACAAAAGAGATTTAAATAATTTAGGAGGCAGTCTTTTGTGTGGTATTTTTAGCTTAGCTTTGAATCCAGTGGACCTGCATGCAATATGTAAGAATCAAGAACGTTCTTAGCAAAGTGAAATGAGAAGACTTCTATTTCTTAAATTTCTATTCCTGAGATTATACAAAATTTCAAGCAAAGAGTAAGCATTAGTTGTAAATACTTCTTCCAAATGTTCATAGAATTTTGAGACTATGATTTTTAAAAATTAATGTATGTCTGTTTTAGGCAGAACTGGGAATATTAAGTAGTGAGAATACTATAGTTTCCTTTTTGCCTATACAAAAGGAATTTAAAATTAGTTTTATATATATATATATGTATTTTTTATTGCACTTTAGGTTCTGGGGTTAAAATTAGTTTTATGATTTCTTCATAAGCTTTATTTAAATTTGAAGTCTTTTTCATAACACTTAGAGAAAAAGCCTTTTGTACTTCTTAGTGTCTCTTTGTCCCAAATATAGTCTGTGGTTTATTTTAGGAAAAACATCAACTCTGAATACCTGGAAAAGTCAAGAGAAAATAAAGTTGGTAAAATGAAAAATTTCCAAGTAAGATAACTGCTTACATTTGCAAGTTATGTGAAGTAAATTTAGAAGTTAAATTTCCATTTTGTAAGAGAAAAACATCTTACTTGGCAGATCTTTTCTTTTGGAGCTATTCTTTTATTTTTAAGTCTACATAAGAGAATGAACTTTGTTTTTTTCTTTTGTTTTGTTTTATTTTTTTAGGGAGGGAAGGAGGAAGGGAGGAAGGCAGGAAGGGAGGGAAGGAGGAAGGGAGGGAGGAAGGAAGGGATGAAGGAAGGAGGAAGGGAGGGAGGAAGGAAGGGATGAAGGAAGGAAGGAAGGGAGGAAGGAAGGGATGAAGGAAGGAAGGAAGGGAGGAAGTAGGGAGGGAGGGAGGGAGGCAAGGGAAGGAAGGAATTCAAGCAATGAGAGAGACATTGCCGACCTGGATCTAGAGGTTTACAAGTTGATTTCTTTTTTTGAGAGAAGGAAAGAAAAAAAAAATGAGTAAAGGAGAGAAAGAAAGAGGAAGAGAGAGGGGGAGGGTGAACGGAAATATTGCTTTATTCTGAAAAAATAAATGGGTATTAATAATGGCCAATCAATGTTTCATTTAAACCTATGAGTACGTGTGATGTGGTATTGACAAGAATGTATATTTTATGTATTTGAAGTGGAGAGCTCTATAAATATTTATTAAGTTTACTTGTTCCGGATCTGAGTTCGAGTCCTTGATATCCTTATTAAGTTTCTGTCTCATTGAATCTAAGTCTCTATGTATCTGGGTGTTAGGATCGTTAGCTCTTGTTGTTGTATTGATCCTTTTACCACTATATCTTTGTTGCTTTAAAATCTATTTTATCTGCTATGAGAACTGCAACTCCTGCTTTTTATTTATTTATTTATTTATTTATTTTTGCTCTCCATTTGGTTGGTAAATCTTTCTCCATTCCTTTGTTTTGAGTCTTTGTGTATCCTTGCATGTGAAACAGGTCTGGATGTAACATGCCGTTGGGTTTTGGCTGTGTCTTTTGATTGGGGGATTTAGTCGATTTAAATTTAGGGTTACTGCCATTTGAACGTTAACTGCCTGTTTGATCCATTTGTTGATGAAAATTCTTCTTTATGTTGGTGCTTTTTACTTTTTGGTATATTTTTAGTAAGGCTAAACTGGTTGTTTCTTTCTGTGTGTAATGCCTCTTTCAGAAGCTCTCGTAAAGCAGGCCTGGTGGTAATAAAATCTCTGAGTACTTGCTTGTTCATAAAAGTTTGTATTTTTCCTTCAGTTGTGAAGCTTAGTTTGGCTGGATATGAAATTCTGGGCTGAAGGTTCTGTTCTTTGAGGATGTTGAATATTGGCCCCCACTCTCTTCTGGCTTGTAGAGTTTCTGCTGAGAGATCTGCTGTAAGTCTGATAGGCTTGCCTTTGCGGGTAACCTGACCTTTCTCTCTGGTTGCCCTTAGTATTTTCTCCTTTGTTTCAACCCTGGTGAATCTAACGATTATGTGCCTTGGGGTTGCTCTTCTTGAGGAATATCTTTGTGGTGTTCTCTGTATTACCTGGGGTTGAATATTGACCTGCTTTGCTAGTTCAGGAAAATTTTCCTGAATAATATCCTGAAGGGTATTTTCCAGCTTGGATTCATTCTGTCCATCGCATTCAGGTACACCTATCAAATGTAAATTTGGTCTTTTCACATAGTCCCACATTTCTTGGAGACTTTGCTCATTCCTTTTTATCCTTTTATCTCTAATCTTGTCTTCTTGTTTTCTTTCATTAAGTTGGACTTTGACCTCTGTTATCCTTTCTTCTGCTTGAACAATTCGAGTGTTTAAACCTGTGCATACTTCTCGGAGTTCCTGTATTGTATTTTTCAGTCCCATTAATTCACTTATATTCCTCTCTAAGTTGTCTATTCGCAATAGGATTTCATCAAACCTTTTTTCAAAGTTCCTAGTTTCTTTATGTTGGGCTACAACATGTTCTTTTAACTCACAGAAGTTTCTTATTATCCATTCCCTGAAGAGTGATTCTGTCATTGGGATGCGCTCGTTCTCCATCAAGCCTTGTTCCATTGTTGATGTGGAACTGTGATCATCTTTAGAGGGAGAGGTGTTCTGATTTTGAGTATTCTCAGCCTTTTATGCTGGTTTCTTCCCATCATTGTAAATTTATCCTCCTGTCGTCTTTGAAATTACCAACTTTCAGATTAGGTCTCTTGGTTGGACGTCCAAGTTGTTAGTTCCCAGGGCCAGAACGGCGGTGGTAAGACTGATGGTACTTTTCTGCCCAGGATTCTCCTGTCTGGCTTCCTTCTTGTGTCTGTAATGGGCGACTCTGCCTTCCCCGGGCTCCAAACCTTGGTCAAAAGCGGAACCAGTCTCGTTTACTCTGCGCCAAGAGCTGCCACGCTGAGGTGCCATCACAGCCGCTGCTCCGGTCTCAGGAGTCGTGCTGGGGACCCATGTGGGTCCTCCAAACCTCGGTCAGAAGGGGAGCCAGCCCTGTTTACTCTGCTCCGAGAGCTGCCGTGCCGAGGTGCCGGCGAAACTGCTGCACCGGCCACAAGAGTCGCGCTGGCGACCCATGTGGTTCCTCCACTGGGGATCTTCTGCTCCGTGAATGACCAGAATTTGTCTGAAAGTGTGGCATCCTCTAGTTCTCTGCACTTTGACTGAGAGCTGCAATCCCAAGCTGTTATCGATCGGCCATCTTGGATCATTCCCCTCAAGAGAATGAACTTTGAAATCAGCTTTCCTGAGCTTTTAAAAAGGCTACCCTTGTTTATTATGAAAAATAATACTTTTATGATTCTATTTTGAATTTTTAAATTTTGAAATAATTCCAAACTTAGAGGAAAGGTTGCAAGAAAAGTACAAAGAACCCTTTTCCCTGAACCATGGAGCCAGTGATGCCTCATGATCTTAAAGGCTTCAGTGTGTAATTTCTATAAACAGGAGTATTCTTTTACTTAACCACAACACAGTGATCAAAATCAGGAAATTAACACTGATATATTACCATCTAACCCACAGACCCTGTTCCAGTTGCCAGTTGTCCCATCAATGTCCTTCATAGTCAAGTGCTCACATTGCTTTTAGTTACATCTCTTTAGTCTCCACCACTCTTAAAAGTTTGTCTTTCCTTGACTTTAATTACTTTAACATTTTTGAAGATTTCAGGTCAGTTTTTTTGTAGACTGTTCCTCAATTTGGGTTTGCCTGATGGTTCCTTTTTATTAGATTCAGATTGTACCTTTTTGGCAAGAACACCATGAAAGAGAGATTGTCTTCTTCTTGCATCTTATCAGGTGTCACACAGTTCTGATTTGTTCAGTTGCTGGTTGGGGCTTTGATCAATTGATTAAGGTATTATCCACCTAGACTTCTTCACCTTTATTGTTATTCTTTTTTCCCTTTGTAATTAATAAGTATCTTGTAGAGAGATCATACAACTTTCACTGACTAGTTTTAGCATCCATTGAATATTTTTCACCTGAATCAATCAGTACCAAATGATTGCCAAATACAGATTTTCTAATTCCATCATTCCTTTTACATTTTTTGGTTGGCATTCCCCTAAAAGGTAGAGCTTTCCCTTCTCTCCAATTTATTCATTGATTTATATCATGTGGACTCGTGGCTTATTTTATCTGATGAGTTGTAATTTGTTGATTTGGCCAGTAAGAGCCCCTTCAAGCTAGCTCCTCTGTTCTTTTGACATGTCCACATCATTCTTTGAGCATGTTCTTACTTTCTAAACAAAAGGACATTCCCTGCTCATCTTTGTGTTTCCTCTGCACTAACCCTGGAATGGATTTTTTTCTCTAAGATCTCATCTCTTTTATCAGAAAATGGTATTTAGAAACCAAGATCTCGGCAGTAGGTGTGCTGATAGTTTTGTGCCATTGTTGCTTCCAAGCCCTCTCATGGAACAGAGCTAGGGAATAAACACAAATGCATGCACACACACACACACACCCCACACACAAACACACAAACCTATACATCTCTATTACAGATATTGAAGGCTATAAGAATTTATACCAGTACTTCCAATTCCAACCTTATTCTAGTTTTCACCCTTCCTAAATTTGTAATTCTTTTCTCTGACTATAAGAAATCTGGCTCCTGCTCTTTCCCTGCTACCACTGAGTTGTGCAGAGGTGGAGTCTCAGGTGTATTCAAGATTCGACTTCACCTGTAACCCACAGCCATGACCGAGGAAGGCATTGCTGCTGGAGGTGTAATGGACGTTAATACTGCTTTACAGGAGGTGCTGAAGACTGCCCTCATCCACAATGGCCTTGCATATGGAATTTGCGAAGCTGCCAAAGCCTTGGACAAGTGCCAAGCCCATCTTTGTGTGCTATGTGTGCTTGCATCCAACTGTGATGAGCCTCTGTATTTCAAATTAGTGTAGCCCCTTTGTGCTGAACACCAAATCAACCTAATTAAGGTTGATGACAAGAAACTAGGGAATGGACAGGCCTCTGTAAAACTGACAGAGGGGAAACTGTAAAGTGGCTCGTTGCAGTTGTGTAATAGTTAGGGACTATGGCAAGGTGAATGTCATCGAAGAGTACTTCAAATACAAGAAGTGAATAATCTTGGGCACACACACACACACACACAAAGAAAGAAAGAAAAAAGAAATCTGGCTTCTGTTAGCCTCAGTCTTCCTAAAAAATAACCAATCACTGCCTCATTATTCACAGTCCCCTCACTGCTGCCCTCAGATGTTCTCTTCAGCTCCACATGGCAGTCCTACACTAGGCCACTACCACTGCCC